TTGATTTKGGGTACTAGGGATTGGACCCAGTGGCACTCCACCACTGAGCCTCATCCCCAGCCCCATTTTACATTTTATTTAGAGACAGGGTCTCACTGAGTTGCTTAGCGCCTCGCTTCCCTAGCGGCTGGGATCACAGATGTGTGCCACCACATCTGGCCTGATGTTATGTTTTATTGGAAATKTGTTAATGCATTTAAATCTTTAAAATTGAACTTATTTTTTAACTAATACATACAAATTCAAGGTCTGTGCATATGAATGAGGTGTCCTGTGCTGTTCCAATGTATGTGCACGTCGTGTAATCAGGTGAAGCCTCTCTGTCCCCTCTGGCACTTGTCATTCCTTCCTCGTGGCAGTGAAAGCGTCCCAGGCCCCTTTTCTAGCTTTTCGAGGTGGGCGGTCACTGTCTGCTCGCCCTGCTGCACCCCAGACCTGCGTCCTCCAGCCAGCTGCCGCTTGGCCCTCACAGAGCCAACTCCCCATGCCTCCCTCCCTGCCTGTCTCTGTTTTCTGACCCCKCAGGGTCTGCAGGTGGATCCAGTGAGTTCCCCGGGGCCCAGGATACCAGGTATGTCCCTGTCGGGGTCACTGGAAGCAGGGCTTGAACCGCCCTGGGGGACACTGGGGTCCTCGGTTGTTCTGCCTCATGTTGGCAACAGCGTTCGACTTCTCAGAGCTGATGGGTGTGGGCCTGGCGGCTGCCTCAACCCCCAGGGCAGCAGGACAGGTGAGGGCTGTGGCAATGGGGGAGCCCCAGGAGCCCAGGAGGGGTCCTGATCAGGTCCAACCCCTTCTAACTGCAGGCCCACTGTGGCAAGGGCCTCTGGTTTACGGAAAAGCTAGAAATATAGATTTTTATGCACCATCTGAAATTGTTGGATGTTGCCAACTAATTGAGCTTTCAGGACGCTGTGGGTCCCCAACGTGAGCCTGAAACTTCCAGTTTCTGATTTTTCCTGGAATTTCAACTCCAGTCACGCTTCACCCATTCCTTCACTAGACTGCAGGCTCATGGAGGGCAGGGGCTTTTGTCCTGGTCACTGCGGAGCCCTGGTGCCCAGCATGGTACTTGGTATTGACTGAGGGCTCGGCACCCAGGGCACATATAACCAGATGAATGAGTGGACGTAGAGGACGTACCAGGCTTTTCTTCATGTTGTTTCCCCTTTTCCTCTCCTCCCTCCTCCTCCTCCTCCTCCTCCTCCTCCTCCTCCTCCTCCTCCTCTTCTTCTTCTTCTTCTTCCTCCTCCTCCTTCTTCCTCTTCTTCTTTGTGAAAGGGTAGGATTTACTGAATTGAGAAGAAACAAGACAGAGCTCTCACCAGGGGACCTGATAGCAGGTTCCCAGTCAGGGAGCTAGTCTAGGGCTTCATGTGCTAGGTAGGGCCACTGGTCACGATCAATGCTGAACAGACATTGGAAAAGTGCCCAGATTGTGAGCTTTCTTTAGGGCCTGGAGCTTCCCTCAGGASGTGGGGGCTTTCTGGAGTCCAGATAGATTTGGACCCAATATTTGCCCCTGGGGCCAGCTGCATAATTGACATAAAATAAAAACGCAGGACCCCTTTAAATGATGAATAATTTTCAGTTTATGGCAATAGTGCATTAAACATAATAAAACTTCGAAGTATGGGGTCCCGTGTTTACACAGTCACACTCCCGTGAAGCCACCACTCCTGTCCATGCCAGCCACGGAGCCCCACCCCTAGGCTGCATCCAGGCATCTCCTACTCCTCCCTGCTGCCCAAGAGCCCAGAGCTGGGTCAGGGGCAGAGCYGGGTCCAGCCTTGAATCTGAAGTTGAAGTTGGCAGCTTCCCCACCACCATGGGGCCCTTTGAGAGCATCCAGTACAAGGTCCCACTGCCCAGGGCCAGGAAGTGCTGGTGGGCAGTCAGGAGAGTGTGCCTGGCTCCTTCCCTTAGGGTGTCTGACCATTGGCCCTCCTTAGGYCCAGCCCGTGGCTGCTCAGGTGGCTGGAGCAGAATCTGGAGAAAATGCTACCTCAACCCCCGACACCCGCTAAGGTGAGTGGACGGTGGGAGGGACCTCAGCTGGCCACCTGGGAGAATTTGGGAGCCCAAGGGGTGGGGACTGACTGTTCCAGCAGTTTCTCCCCCAGGGGTCCAAGAGGGGTGAACCCCTCTGGGATCATCCTAAATGGGGAGGAGTCACTGCCCAGGGTGCCATGGGGGGGAGACTTGGGGGCATGATAGCCCTCSGCCCTGGCCTCAGGTCAGGGACCGCTGGCCAGGATGGGGCGTGTGCAGAGCTTTTACCACTGTCCTTGCTCCCCACCTGCCGTCCAGGGCTTGACTGCTGAGCCTGCAGGTGCTGTCCTGGGCCCAGGTACAGAGAGGGGGCCTGGGAGGGGCTGCTTGGGTGGTTATGGGCTGGGCTGGGGGAACCCCGGGGATCTCAGGGAGACCCTTGGTCTTCATCTGGGTCAGAGAGCAGTTCTGGCCTTTCTGAGAGTGGATTGTTGTGGGAGGGCACTGGAGCCCCCTCCCTAGTCCGAGCTGGGGAGCCTGAGACTAGGCGCAGGTCCCATTCATCCTGTGGGACGTTGGAAAGTCCCTCCCTCTCCCTGCTCTTTTCGATGCTAGAGGTGTTTGGAGTGGTCCCAAGGGTCTCCCTGCCTGGTCGCGTTAGTGCTTTGGAGCTGACCCCCTGAGGCCTGGAGGGGCCAGGTGGAGCCCTGCCGTGGGCTCTTCTGCCCCTGCTCTCCCTCTGCTCAGAGCCTCCAGAACCCCTGCTGGAGACGGAGCCCACGGAGCCCATGCTGCAGGACCCCGAGAGCGCCTGTGTGACCAGTCTCGAGGAGGAGCCGGCTCCAGAGCCCCAGCCCAGCCTCCAGACCTCCTCCCTGCCGCCAGCTGCGGACTCTGCCGGGTGAGCCCTCCTAAATGTCTTCTCCCCACCTCGGGGAGCACGGTCAGTGCCTGGCCCCAGCCCAACACCCCACCTTCACAAAAGTAGCATTTTGAATTATGGAATTAACACATGCCCCAGGGAGAAAATTYAACTCTCCAAGTCCTCCCAGGGCAACCTCAGGTTCTTGCCTTCCCCAGGTGAGGACACTGTTCCTTTAACTACACACCTAGCAAGGGTGATCTATAGGCAGGAATCTGCATGTTGCTTTTTTCACTTGGAGGTGGGTTTGTGCACAGAGCTGCATTCCGTTCTTCCACTAGCCGGGTAGTGCTCCATCAGGTGGACGCACAGCCTTGATTTAACCATGCGGTGGACGTTGAGTTTGTTTCCACCCTTGTGCTGCAGTCAGAGSCTCTCCCGGCCTCCTGGGGCTCCTGCCCAAGTAAATCTGTAGAATAAATCGTGAAAAGGGAACTGCTGGGCTAAGGGTGACATTCAGTCAAAACCGGGTTGGGTGGTGGCCTGGGATGGAYGGAGCTGGTGGTGGAGGGCTTTTCTAGGTGTGCATGGTCCTGGCTTCAGCCCCCAGGTACCAAAACAACAACAAATCCGGATTAGAGCTGCCAAAGGCGAGCACCCTGGCCGAGTGTGAGAGGGCGGAAAYGCAGCTCCGGGGATGGGGTGGGGGGGTACCCGAGCTGCCTACGGGGGTAACCCAAGCAGTAGGCAGAGCCCACCCAGGGGATGGGGAGGGGAGGAAGGAATTGGTCTTTAGAGCTGGAGACGCGGCTGGGCTCTGGCAGGCCTGCTGTTGACCTGTGGAGGGAGCTGGCAGTGGCCTAGTCTCTCCAGGGTAGGGGTGGGGGGCTCTCCCGCTGGAACACAGCCCRCTCTGCCCACAGGTTGCTAGCGTGGCTTCTACACAGGCTGGAGAAGGCCCTGCCACAGCCGGTGCTCCCTGGGAACAGCCGGGAGCAGGTCAGTGCTGGGAGTGGGTCCTGGCCAGTGGGGGATGGGGATCTTGGGAGCTCAGGGAAGGATGGGGTGGTGGGCCTGGTCCCTGGAGGGTGGGGACACCCACCGTGAGAACCCAGGCCCTGCAGCCTGCCTGTCTGAAGCCCATGTTCACTTCACCCAGACCCTTTGTGGCTCTGTGGCCACCGGCTGAGACGTGGTGGCCCAGCCCACTGCCAGGGCCTCACAGTCCTTTGGGAACATGTGGGGAGCAGAGAGGGTGTAGGACTCACAGGTGGCGCCTCCTGGGAGCAGCAAGGAAAGCTTCCCAGTAGAGGTGACCTCCAAGCATGCTCCAAGGCCCAGTGACAAGAGAGACCTGGACTGTCCTGGGAAGAAGTGGGGTTCACAGGAAACCAGAAGGTCCCGTGTGCAAAACTGACAACCTAGAACACCATCGTGGGGGGCAGGGAGCAAGGCCTCTGTCACTGTGTCTTTCCTTCCCCAAGATCCCGGGACCTGGCCTTTCTTTTTGGGGGACAATTGGACATTTCCATAGAAGCTCTTGAGCTGGGAGTGGAAGCCTACCCTCAGTCCAGGCTGTGTGAGTGTGGCCATGGCCCTCTCAGAGCCCCCTTGTCCCACCTGAGCAAGGAGCGGACAGTGGCTCACTCCCCAGGGGTGTGAGAAGGCAGGAAAGAACTCTGTAAGCAAAGGCGTGTAGGCCCAGGAGAGAGGAAGGCCTGGCCGGTTTCAGGGCCTCTGGGTCACTCAAGGACCCAGCCTGGCTCCTCCAAGCGGAGACCTTTGTTGTGGCTGTCTGGGGACCACCTCCCCACCTGCCTCACTGAGCCAAGACTGAACCTCAAAGCCCCTCTCCCAATTCCCTCATGGTCTATGGGCACAGCAGGGTCCTCTATGGCCACCTGAGGCCTACAGAGGCGAGCCAAGRTCACACGTGGCTGGAGTTCCAACTCCATATCCAGGCTCTTGTGGCTTCCAGGCACATCCTGCCCTCTTCCAAGGCTGGTTCCTGTGCGGAGGGAAGTGGGCAGGAAACAGGCTATCCACGCCTCGGGTCTGCAGAGGAAGCGCGACAACCCGGTTTTCCAAGACACACGGGGCTGGGTGGCAGTTAGCGGATGAGGATGTCCTCACAGGGTCACGGGGCTCTGGGGAGGAGGCTGGGGAAGTGGGTTCCCCTGGTGAGAGGCCTTGGAGGAGCTGGGAGCTTGGAGGCGACCCTCCTGGGAGGGTGGGAGCAGGATCTGACACGGAGGCCAGCCGGTGGGGGGTTCCAGGCGAGCCCCACCCTAGCAAAGGTGGTGAGGGGGGACCAGGAAGTGGCCCTGGTGGGAGAGGGCTGGAGCAGGGTGGCCTCGGAGGCAGGAGAGCGCAGGCAGGGAAGAGTGGAGCAAGTCYCAGGAAAAGCCCTGCCGGCTCCCGCGAGGGCCGCGGGGGTGGTGGAAGCGGGGAGGCAGGAGGCAGCCATGGTGACCCCCCTTTTCTCCCCACAGGAGCCTGGCTCCCCGGAGACGGGTGACACGCAGACCAGTAAGTGCTGCATTTCTGGGTTCCCGTGTACCTCCCAGGAGGGTGGCTTGGTATCCTAGTGGGGGGGGGTTTAAGTGGGGCCTCCTGACCTGGAGCCCAGAGAGCTCCCTGCCCTGCAGGCGCCATCTCTGTTCATCGGGTCCAGGTAGCCGGAGCCTGGCAGGGGCTGGAGGCCCCCAGGGCCTGGTTCCTGGCTTCTGTCCAGAGAAAACAGTCCCAAAGTCAAACCAGATGGGCCCTCTTCCTGCTGGCAGAYGGCTCTGGTCAGGTGGGGAGAGGAGAGCGGCGGGCGTCCCTGAGGGAACCAGATCCCATCGGCTGGACCACCCTTGGGCAGGGAGGCTGTCCCTCACCTGCAGCTGGGGTGAGAAGATGTGGGGGCCTTTTTATCCCAGCCCCAAGCCAGGACTGGGCGACAGAGGCTGAGGTCCCTCTGAGTGTGTTGGGAGCCRAATCTGCTCTTGCTTTGCTCCCTGGCCTCTGGCCATGCAGCCATTCACTCATTCACTAAGTCAGTGATGGTGGACAGCCCGCTGCCGGCMGGGCCTTTGGGCAGCGACAGTCCCTGTTCTGTCCTGGACATGGGCTCTCTGACCCTAGGTCAGGCTCTCCCAGGGCCACTTCCGCTGTGCTGTAATGCTGTGTCCAACCCCAGGGTGAGCTCTCTGAAGCTGGGGGTGACCACTGTGGCTTGGGACACAGACAAATGGCTGACTGCAGGGCTTGGGTCTGGTGGACRAGCCATGAGAGGTGTTAGGGTTCATGGTGGCCGTGACAGCAACCCAAGGAGCAGCAGAGCCCACCGGCCTCTGGGCAGGACGGGCCCAGTCTCTCATGGAGCCCACGGTCTCCCTGAGCATGAAGTGAAGGGACCTCTATGGCTCTTGGCAGGTGGGGGACAAGAGCTCGGAGAACTCAAGGCACCTGCCCAGGGTCACAGAGCAAATATGGTGGGGTAGTAACCGGACTCTGGCTCGACAGCAGCTGCTCGGTCAGGCAAAGTTAAAGGGACCCACACTGTCCCCTGGGGCGCTGGAGCCTGGGCCCCCTCTTGTCTTCCTCTCGCTCCTCTGGGAGGACTCAGGATTCTCRGCCCACTGTAGGCAGGGCCTCCTGCAGTCCCTGGAGTGGGCAGGTCACAGGTGGGCACCAGGCCTAACAATGGGGACAGACACATGCAGGGCCTGGAGCCTGGGCAGGTCCTCCTCCTGGGTCACCATAACAAACAACAGTCAATTACATTCCAGGGGGCTTAAGGCAGCAGTTCGAAAGCCAGARGTCCAGAACCAAGGCACTGCAGGGTGGGTTTCTTCCGAGGCTCTGAGAGAGGGATTGTCCCTCCTCTTCCTGGCCTCAGGGGCTGCAGGTCACACCTGGGCTCTTGGCTTCCAGCTGATCCCCCGACCCTGCGTGAGTGCCCACGTGGACTCGCTCTGTGTCTTGCTCTGCGTCTGCTCTGTGTCCGCTTTCCTTGGCAAGGATGTCAGGGGCCTCCCTAAATCCAGGGTGATCGCCTCTTGAGATCCTTAATCAGGTCTGCAGAGACCCTGTTCCAAATAAGGTCCCATTCACAGGCGATAGGATCAGAACTTGAACTCATCATTTTGGGGGGACACTATCAACCCTCTACATGGGGAAGGAGCTTCCTCTCCTCCCCGCCCTGTCCACAGCTTTCCCTTCCATCTGTCCCTCGGTCTGTCTGTCCGTGCCCTCTGTCTGCCCCCCCGGCTGCCTGCCCCACTGACTCCTCCTTTGTTTCAGGGGTGGCGGCAGCTGGAGGCCTCTGAGACAAGGGAGAAGGGGATCTGGGAGAGYACAGATGGACAGACGGATGGATGGATGGAAGGGAAGAAGGACGCCCGGAGGAGAAGACGTTCAGGGGGTGGAGGGCGGGAGGTGGCCATGGACCCCTCCCTGCGGGGTCGGTGGGCCGCTGGCCCTCCCCCACGCTCCCAGGCAGGGCTAGGAGAGCCAGAGGCGGCCCCACCAGCTCCCCAGCCGCCTCCTCTCAGGACACCTGGCAAGGGAGCGGGACCCAGGCCAACTCAAGGGGAAGGTCGGCCAAGGACAGCCTGAGAGATTCAGGCTAGACGGCAGGGGGACTTCCTCAGTGGGAGGCGATGGAAAGCCCTCTGAGAAGACCCCTCCACAGCCCCTGTGGCACTGGCTCTGTCTCAACCCCCATGGGACACACTTTTCCCAGAAGTGGTTTCCTAAGGCCTGGCCACTTTGTCTCTCTGGGCAGGCCGGGGGACAGTGACATTGAAATCCACATTAAACATGCCTGACGAGCACCTCAGCCCCGTGGTGGCCGACRTCATTGCCTAGGGTCGGGCTGCAGCACAGTGGTGAGACTTTAAAAGTGGGTAGGCCGAGAGGGCTGTGGCCTGCGGTCTGGGGTGCAGGAGGAATTAGCTAGGGGTCCTGGGGTCCCAGGTGRCCCACAGACGTCTTTGTTTGGGCCAACGGTGATTTGAAAAATTAGAATCCGTTGCCAGCATTTACTACTCAGGTGACTTTATGTAGAATGTCTGGCTTCCCTGCCATCCTGGGGACTCGGGGTAGGTGGCAGCTGTCCCTTCTTGTATCCTCCGTTTGAGACCCCGATGGCTCACAGTGACAGTGAGGAGAGGGACACCCTCAGGAGAGGGAATAAAGGGAGGAAAAGCTAGAGGTACGAGGGGGAGGCTGCGTGGGTCCCCGGGGTGGGGGGTGACACCCGGCCATCCGTAGCCCACAGCCCTTCGTGGTTAAGCAGGATAGTTGGGCCTCACTTTAGGTGAGCTAGATTATAGGCAGTGGGGAGCCACGGAGTGTGGTTGAGCAGAGGAGTGACTTCCCAGAGATGACTCTGGGGCTGAGCAAGCAACTGGAGGCATCGMAGAGCAACTGGGGGCAACTCTGAAGAGTGTCCCACCCTCAGATTAGAATAGTGGCCTCAGAATCCCCCACCAAGATCCTGGTGATGAGGGACGGCTRCAAGCCTACTTTCAGGAATTTCCGGTGAGTGAAAGGTCAGTGCTTTGGGGCCAGAGCGGAGAGGTGGCCTGGACTAGGGAGAGGCCGAGGGAGCGGGGACCACGGCCCCAGCTCTGCCAGTGACCTGGGGTCCCCGTGGGGGCTTGCCCCGGATCCCATGCACCTGGGCTCCCGGACCCTGGAAGCAGGAGCATTTTCTTGGGTGGGGCCGCTGGCCTTCCTGGCCTGGGTCGGAGCCCCATGTGAAGGTCCTGAGGGTGGAGAGGTCACCGGCCACGAGGTGGGGTGCCCTGAGGGAATCCAGGGGCGAAGCTTTACCGCAGACAGGGCAGCCCTGGGAGGTGGGGAGCCTGCAGGGAGGGGCACACTCCCATCCCTTCCCTTCCTGGCCGGTGGCCGYGGGCACCACCTTCTTAGAGTTGTCACATCTTTGGCTGTAAACTAGGGACAGTCTGGGGCAGGCCTTAAAGGAAAGAGGGAATGTCAGGGATCGCTCCCTCCTAGAGCACCAGCCATGCGGGGACGGGTGCTTCCAAGACAGTGGCCAGGGCCCCGCTGAGGCTCTCCGGGGGCATATTTACCACCTGGGACGGCGTGCTAGGGACGCAGGCATCAGGAGACCTGACTCTGCCTCTAACTTCCTGTGTGACCTTGGACAAGTCGGCCAGCCTCTCTGRGCTGGCTGTTTGGGCTATAAAATGGGGAGAGTGCTGTTCTCTTTGGGACACTGTGACAGCTAACAAGCTCTTAGGCCAGGGAGTGTTGTCCTCTGACTCCTATAGTGCTCGGGCAGGAACCTGTTCCCCAGGGGACTCCTGGAGTACAAAGTCCAGGAGCTACTGCAGAGACRGGCCAGGCAGGGTGCGTGCGGGGGCTTCCCTGGGGACACACAGGTGCTTTCTCTGTTTGATGGGGATAATATCTGTACCCGGAAGCTGGGAGTCCCAGCCCTGGCCCATGCGAAGCAYCCCATAAAAGAAAGTGATAATTTTTGTTTCAGTTTGCTCATCTGTAAGATGGGAATCAAATACAAAAGAGAGGAAATAAAATAAAAATCATYCTTCCCACCTCAAGAGGTTGTGTGAGCACTAATGGAATGAACCCAGGTCCTCTCTGAACACAGGCCTGACCCCCGGGAGTACTCAGGAATGCCGCTGCTGTTACTATTACTGTTATTGTTGTTGTTTGCTGTACCATGAGCAATRACTTCCAAAATCACAGGATAAGACTTGGGGCCAGCTTTCATTTAAAGTCACCATTACTAATTCACGCTCTGCTTGAGGGCCACCAAGACCCCTGGAGCTTTTTCAGAACACCTGATATCCAGGGAGTCTCCCCTGTTCTCCTAGACACCTGCCTGGGATGGAGTTCCTGAGGAGCCTCCCCTGTACCCACTTCTGCCAACCTCACAGGTCCACTGCATTCCCACGGTCAAGAATTCAAGTGCATGGAGAAATGCTTAAAATGACAGATTCCTGCGATTCTCCGCCCCTCAGCAAAGTTGAATTCCCTTGGGGAGGGAGTTTCTAGACCCAGGAGGCAGGGGAGGGATCAAGTGCTGGGCATCCAGCCGGCAGCGGTGGGCAGGCTCTCTCTGCATCTCTGGGGACCATCTGGGCTGCCCTGCACCGAGGTGGCCAGGCGGACCCCACTCCTACGTCTGGGCACGACCCACAACGCTCTGGTTGGAAGAATTCTTTCTGCAAAGAAACCAAGCTGATCAGCCATTGTCAAAGCTCTGTCTCAAGAGAAAAAAGTGGGGGAAATGAAGGGTGCCCGGCCAACGGTCAGGCTTCAACACGTCGCTTGAGCACGGATGCGGTGGAACCAGTCCCACCGGCCACAGCGCATTTCCCTGGACTCGTTCAGGAGCTGAGGTGCTACTGGAGACGGCCAGGCTCCCGCCTGGGCTCCCTGAGACTCCTGGGTCCCCTGCAGGAGTCTCACAGGTGGCTTCTCCTGTGTCCCCTGCAGTTGGCATCCTGGCCACGCAGCGACAGGAGCCCGACCTCATCCTAGAAGATGTTGACTSTCACTGGGAGGATGCCCAGCAGGACTGCAGCTCCAGCCACCAGGAGATGGAGAGGCTTCCAGCTCACGGGAAGAACAAGGCCGTGGTGGAGACGCCCAGGTGGGAGCCCGAGAAGTCCCCAGAAAGAGCCAGTTCTCGTTTGAGAAGGTAGCAGGCGTGCCGTGCCGAATCCCCAGGTCCAAGAGGCCACAGAGCTGCAGCCAAGCCCGGCCCCMATCCCATAGGTCACACCTGGCTCTTTATTTTTGGGTACTGGAAATTGAACCCAGGGGTGCTCTACCTCTGAGTCACAACCTCACACCTTTTCATTTTTTATTTGAGACAAGGTCTTGCTCAGTTGCTGAGGCTGACCTTGAAATTGCAATCCTCCTGCCTCAGTCCCCAAGTCACAGGGATTGCAGGCATGCACCGTGTTCTGATGCCCATCCCAGACACAGTCTGGGCATATCCATGCTCTCATCACCCCCTCTATTCTTTTTTGTGGGGGGTGGGGCTGAAAGGAAATCTAGCCCATGTAACTTGTCAGCACCTTGCTGCATTCATCCAATAACATACCTTGAGGGCCTTCCTCCGTCAGTAGGTGGAAATCATCCTTATCGTTTTTACAGCTCTGTAGGGTTCCATCCTTGGGTATACCATGATTTATTTAACCTGCCCACCACTGATGGACGTTTATGTTGTGTGTTGTCCGCTTTCTGTTACTCTAACAACATGCCTGAGATAATCGACTTAGGTAGAGAGAGAAGGTTTATTTGGGGGCTCATGATTTCAGAGGTTTCTGTCTATGGTTGGTTGGTCCCCTTATCATGACAGGAGTGTGTAGTGGACCAAAAGCCTTCGCTTCATGGCAGAGAAGAAAGAGGGAGAAAGAGGAAGGGGCTAGGGTCCCACTGTCCCCTTCAAAGGCATGTCCCCAGAGATCTAAAGACTTCTCACTAGGTCCTATCTTTTAAAGGTTCCACCTTCCAATTGGGCCACTCTGGGGACCAAGCCTTTAGCATGGGCCTTTGAGGGATCCAAGTGCAGCCAACACCCTTGTAGGTGTGAGCCTCTTTGACCCTCATGGGCACAGCCACAGGAGGGTTTCCAGAGGGAGCTCCTGGGCCACTTACAGTGCCTGGTACACAGTAGGCACTAAATAAATGGACCAATTGAAGGGATGAATGCATGCGTGGACCRTGCAGTGGGCTCCCCTCTTATTAACACATCCAAGACTGTCCCCCGCCCCCAACGATCCCATGTTGTCTYGACACCTTCTAAGGCTGCCCGAGAGTCTCCTCTGTTGTCCACTCGGGGCCGAATCCTCATCTGCATCTACACAGATTTCAACCCAAGGACTCAGTCCAAGTAAACGTTTATAGATGGAGCTGAGAAAGGAGCGCTGGGAGGGGCGGGCTCGACAGCAGTGAGGATGGACAGAGGGACGATGGCTAGGGGAGTGGACACTGGAGCAGGGAGGAGCGGGAAGTGGGTCATGGAGGAGATGCCCCKGGAGTGAGCGGGGAGACAGGAGGRGCCCCAGGACCAGATTAGAGGGCAGGGAGGTGACCAAGAGCCGGGAAGCACCCACCCGGGAGGGGAGAGGGTGACGCCCTCCTCCCTGAGCTGTCCCTCTGACCTTGGCCGGTCTTTGCCATCAGAAGTGCCACTGTGCATCATTAGCAAAGTGACCTGGGGAGGTGGCCTCCCAGCTCCATGGCTGTGGGGTGGGGACTGCCAGCAGGTCCCTGCAGAGGGTGCACAGGGCCAGCTGCGAGAGGGTGTGGTGGGGCCTCACCTGGAATMGTGCCCTGCTGGTGGTTACTGGGGCTCTTGTTGCCACAGAGGTCACTTTTAGTCCCAGTCAGGAAACTGTTAAACCAAGAGGCCAGCACAGGATTTCGGAGCTGGATGCTGGGGGGTCCTCAGCTCCTGGTCCACCCTGGCTCAGTTCTTCCAACTTTGGCAGGAAGCCACCCAAACTCTACTTGCTTACCTCCAATGACGGGGGACTCGTAACCTCTTGAAGGCCGTCCACTCATCCGCAGGCGTCTCTGACTTGTGAACTTAGTTTTCTACAAACACTAAGCCTGCTTCCCTAATTCTGTGTTCTGGGTCCCTGCCACTGTTACCCCACCCCACGAGGTGGGGACCATGGTGCTGTCGAGCTTGGTCACTGCAGACTGCTTTGTCCCGTGCCTTCAACCTGCCTCTAGGAAGAGTTCATAGCTCCAGGCCACTCCTCGGCTACACCTGTGCGCCTAACAGATAGGTCCCAAAGTCCCTTTATTGCCACTGCTCTTGAGCCAAAATGACCCTTAAAGGCCAGTGATAAACTGCTTTCCATGTGCCCACGCTCTAGCGGTACACATGTTCTCAGAACACGGTACACACAGACGCCCGGGCCGGACAGTCCATGCATCTACATGTACAGGAATGCACGCGCAGCCCACCCRCACGCACATGTGCCCAAATGCCCACCCAGAGTTTTAAACTCAGKGAACTTTTGAGCCCCAGACCCAGGGAGGGACCAGATGCTGTGGTGACGGAGCCAGCAGAGCGGGGCTGTTGCTGTCTGGGGAAGGAGGCTCTTGGCCACTCTGCAGAGGCACAGGTTACTGATGACGCCAGGGCCCTGGTAACGCAGATGGTTACCTAGCAACCCCATCTCTGCAGGCAACAGCTCAGCTTTTCCTAGCAACTGTGGCCTTTTGGTCCCCACATGGCCTCCCTGGGGACGTTTCTGCAGAGTTCCCTGCACACCCCCTCGATCTGATCGGAGGCAGGAGGACTGGTGGCTCAGCTGCCATTCGAGCCGCTCTGGCTTGGACGCTGGACTCCTGGCTGGGCCAGGGCTCTCCAGGCTCCACGCATGCTCCAACCCCGGGCTCGGGGTGAAGGGCACAGCCTCCAGCTGAACCGCGCCATGGGCACCCGTGCTGGCAAAGACCAAGAGACCCAAGTAGGTGGCTGCTTGTGCCCGAGGGCTCCCTTCCCTCCTTCCTTGGTGGCTGGGATTTCAGGGGAAGAGCATGCTGCAGGTGACATGAGGACCCTGTGCTGGGGACACAGCCTGCTGGGGCGGTTGAGGGAGGAGTGGACTGGCCAGCCCTTGTGAGCGGGCTGCCGCTAGCTGGGACCTGAGAGGCCTTCTGAGAAGCCCACCTTGGCCCATCTGGGTTCCTTTGCTCGGAGGTCCCCGAGGCTTGAGAACTCTCTGGAAGTTGTTAGGCTGTTGCTTCTGGGCTGGGAAAGTGGGCACCTTGGCAGGTACCGGGCACACGATGGAGTAGGGACGGTGTGACCTGGGTACGTGGACYACCCCCAACAGCCCTTGGTGATATGGGCACAGACACCACTGGGCACATTGGTTCGTGGATAACTGAGGCTGTCTGTTCAAAACACTTCCCAGTCCTTGTGGGTGACTCCATGGCCCTGCCGACCACCACCTCCTTGGGATGAACGAYAGCAGTGACAAGAATAGTAATAGAAACAGCTGTCATTTGACTGGTGATATTTGTCCACGCTAGACCGAGCTGAGACAGTCAGAATGGCAGATTCTATCACTAATCCCAATTCATAGATGGGGAACTGAGGCTCAGAGATGGTGCCCTGCACGCCCAGGGCTGGCCCACCAGGAAGCCCAGAGCTGGGGTTCTGTCCCCAGTTGGCTCCAGAGTGAACACAGAGCCTTGTACTTTGGGCCAAGGAAAACCGCTTTCTGTGTTTAGAGGTGAAAGATCCAGAAAAATCCCAAGAACCGCTCTGACAGTCTCTTTTCCACGAGGTCCTCACTGGCCCTCTGACCTCTTTCAAGGACGTCCGGCTGCACAGGCCAGGCCAGTCCTGCCCACTGGACAGATGAGCAGACAGAGGCGGCCCTAGGGCTTCCAGGTGACTTGCCCCAGGCCAGACAGCGATTTCCTGGCCTGATAATGGAAAGAACAGGACCTCAGGAGGCCTCTGGCTGGGACAGGGGTGGCCCATATCCAGGGCCTTTCAGAGAAGGGTCCTGTATCTGTTTGGGGAGGGAGAAGCCGGTACCGCCCTGGGACCGGCTTGACTTGAATCTCTACCAAAAAATCAGTTTTGTGCTGGGCAAGGTGGGGAGCCTTACCCTGAGAGTCGAGGTCCTGACAATGGAAATGTCTACACAGAGAAGGAAAATAAAGTGAGTCAGGTGCTTGTGCCATTCAAACCCTGGGTCTTACTCCTTCACGTCACATGGGGCCATGTCGCTGCTCAGAGGTGGGCAGCAGAACTGAGTGGTAAGCACCTGGCTTTGGGAGCAGAGACACCTGTGTCTTTTCCAGGCTCCCCCTTACAGGCTGTGTGACCCTGGACCAGCCATCGAACCTCTCTGAGCCTCAACTTTCTGAGCTGGAATGGTATTAGCCACAGCCCTGGTCTCTCAGGATTGTTTACACGAAAAGTCGGGAGACACTGTATGTGGAGCGCCTGGCACAGGGCCTGGCCCGTGGCCCACAGGGGCTGTTGTGGCACTGTGACCTTGGGCTGATTCCTGCTCCCARGTGGCTGGATTCAAACCCACTCGGCCACACTCCTGTCCCCACCTCCTCAGCCCCCTTGAGAAGACTGAGATGAGGCCCCCTGGGTAGAGGAAGGTGAACCCAGGTTTTCTAGGTGGTGGACACCCCAGAGCATCTTAAATAAGCCTCTTGGGGACAGGGAACCAAGGGCTGGGACAGGGCTATTCAGAAGCGCAACTAATTCTAACTACAAAAGTCACATTAGCCCCCGGTTCTAAGTCAGCCTGTAACCCAGAGGTCATACTTAGACTTCTAAGGGCCTGATTTTGCCTGGAGAAAGGCTCTTTTAAAAATATCTACATATCAATTTCAAATTAATCTGAATTAATTATTGGCATCTAAATATCAGGAAATTCCACCTTCAAAATATATAGTTCAGGCTTCTCTTGAAAACAGCAAGATCCATTCCCAGTAGAGGGGGGTCGCCGTCTGCAGATGGATATGGGTCTCTCACTTGCCATGGTCCTCCCTGCCCCATGCTGCTCTCTGACCCCGTCACTCATGTGTGCCTGCTACCTGGGTTAGTGACCACTGAGAGCTTTGACAGTGGCAGTGTGACTCTGATTTTACAGCATAGGAACATCCAGGGCCTAGAGGTGAGGTTCATGTGGTTTGTGAAAATTTGCTGTGTGATTTTGTCCTGGTGAACTCAACTCTCTGGTCCTTGCTTTTCTTATGTTCCCTGCTCTGCCTGGACACTAAGATTGCCTGGAGACTCAAAGGGCAATCCTGGGCATGAATTCTKAACATCACACGGTGCCTCCCTCCACCCATACCCCTCCTCTCTCCCTCCTCTGTGCTTCTCTTGCCACATGCCGTCCTGGCTTCCTGTTCCTGGTTTTAAAATCCTCATCCTTGAGCCCAGCTTGCAGGCCACCTGCTCCAGGAAGCCCTCCTTCCCAGAAGAGGTGTGGCTTGTCCTGGGTCTCAAACAGAGTGATGGTCAGCAGGACACTGCCCTGGGAATCTGATGAGGACAAGGCCTGGTCTGGACCATTCTGTCCCCAACCCCTGGCCCAGAGCTTCGGCCTCAGCAGGGCTTGGGAACTGGTGAGCGCTCCTAACCCCATCCTCCGCACCCCCGCCCCCAGCCCCAGTGTCCGGCTGGATAGCTCCTGGCTGGTGCAGTCCAGTGTGGATCCGAGCAGAGGAGGCGGGAAGCAGCCCCTGAAGGCCTCATTCCAGGTACGGAGAACCCCTGAGGCCTGGGCAGGGTGGAGGGGAGAGAGTGGAGGGCCCCACTCAGGTGTCAGGAAGGACCTTGGCCATGGGTGGGGTCGGGTGGAGCTGGGCTCAGATTCCCACCTGGTTCACCTTGCTATGTGGCCTCCGTGACCACGGCGTAAAACGCCTCCTGGRATTGTAGGAGGGTCCAAAAGTGCTCGTACCCTCTGCAAGGTGCCGTCCGGGGTGGGGCTTCCGGTGGGGTCTGCTTTGGTTGATTTGTGCCCCTACGAACAGGCTGCTTCGGGGGGCTCCTCTCGGCACACGTGACAAGTCCCCGAGTCAGGGCCTGGGGCTTCCTGTGTGCTGTGGACTCCTCAGGTTCTAGCCACCTGTCTGGATGCCCCAGGAGACGGGCCAGCAGGGCCTGCCTGCCTGGGCAGGGYGAGAGTAGAATGGGGGGCCGCGAGGACCCCTGAAGATGTCCTGAGCGGGCCGTTGGGACAGAGGCCGGGAGCGGGTGTCCCAGCACTGCCCCCGCTGTATCTTTGCAGGGGCTGCAGGAGGAGGCGGAGGCYGCCAGCTCAGCAGGTGGGTGGTGGTGGAGGTGACTGCGTGGAATGTCGGGGTCCTTTCAGGCTGGGGGGGGTCTCTCCGCCTGTCCCTCCACCTCCTTCCAAGTTGTTGCCCCACCGTCCCCCCTCAGCAAAGCCCATCCCGCGAGTCTTGGGCCACATTGTCATGGCCAGATGACGTCTTTCAAAGGTCCTAGGGGAGTGGAGGGAGGACCGAGGATTCCTAGCCCCCACCCTCCGCCCCTGCCACCCCCTCTCGRGGGAGTGTAGCTGTGGGTCCCACCCAGCCAGGGTTCAGCTGAGACACCACATAATGTAAGTGAGGGACCGTGGGGCCGGACGGAGCCTGCAAATGGTGCTCCCAGACTCTGGGTCTCAGGGCTCGTCCCGACTGCTGAGCTCTCAGGGCGGGGCCGGCACCTGCGCTTTGCTTGTATTTTACACCCACCCCCACTCCTGAGAGCTTCAAGAATGGTGGGTTGAGAGTCCAGGGCGCCGAGCAGCAGCCAGGCCATCTTACCCAGACAGACAGACAGACAGACAGACAGACAGACGTGGAGCCTCGGCCCACACGCCTCCCGCTCCTCCAGCCACCTGCACTGCAGCCGCCCGGCGATGCAGACAGACCACTGGACAGATGATACCATTGAGGCTGCCCCAAGGTCAAGGCCCAAACCTGCCCCTCACGCCTCTCCCCCTTCCTGGCTGCGTGATCCAAAGTCAGTTCTGCGACCTCTCAGAGTCCTGGCTCCTAAATCCAGAAAAAMGGAGCAATCATAGTTCCCACCTCCAAGGCTGTTGGGCAGAACAGGGGACGCGATGGATCGAAGGTGCCCGGCATCGCTGCTGGTGCCAAGGGAAGAGTCAGAAGTGGAGAGGACGATTGATGATGGAGATGATACTGGGCCGGGGTCCTGACCTGGGCGTCCCCAGCTTGCCCCTCAGCTGGCCTTTACAAAGCGTTCTCTGTGAACTTTCATGTTCATTTGTGGGAGACCCACTAAGTCCAGGCCCCATGCTGGGCCTCCAATGAGTCCAGGACCAACTGGCACAGCAGGGCTGGTTCTGCCCCTGCTCCACGTGCTGGAGCCACGCTCGAGAAGCGCTGAGGCACGGCCTCTTGTCCATTTATACTCAAAAGTTTGCACGCAGGGCCAGCAGCTGTGTGTCACCTGGGAGCTGCTGAGGAATGCAGAGCCCCAGGAGCCGCCCAGACCAGCCAAGTCAGAAATTGACCGTGTAACAAGGTCCTCTGGCAATGGCTCTGTGTGTTAGCGTTTGAAAGGGGAATGGCCTTGAGCCCTGGTTCTCAGACTTGACTGCACRTTTGAATCCTGGGGAGTTTAAAACTCCCAGTGCCAGGCCTCACCTTGACCATGAAGTCAGGTCCTGGGGATGACAGGCCTGGGTATCAGACACGCCGACGGCCCCGGCTGATTCCACTGTGCAGCTATGCAGCTCGGTTTGGGCCCCAGGAAAGGGGACTGCCCCTGGTTGGAAGTGACACTGATCCACCTCCAGGGTTTCTTTGGCCTGGGCGATTCTGGGCTGAGGATATTTTCCATCCAGGACTCTAGTTCTTAGCGCCCGAGCCTGTGAGTCCTGCTTTGCGGGATTCTGACTTTCCTTGGTCAGAGATGGGTCATGCTGCTGCAGGTGGTCAGTGGAGACCGTGAAAAGTCAGGAGGCCCTGGGGCTGCTGGGTGGACCGGCCACATGCCTGGATGACCCTTTCGATGTTGAACTTCAGGGATAAGAGTGAGGGGTGCTTCAGACAGAACTGGGGACAGAACTGCTGCGAATGCAGATGGGCACCATGCTGCTCCGTGTCGGTGCTGAGAGAGGAGCCCCACTGACCGCCTCTCTGTTCTGCTCCCGATTGCAGTCCCCAGGGTCACACCTCTGCCCGCGACCTTCGGACTCCAGCGCCATGGCCAAGCCAGGCCAGGACATGGAGCTGAATCGCCTGGTCCAGGACCAGCCGCCTGGCCAGGAGGCCCCCAGGCTTGCACCCCCAAACCTGGCAGAGCACCTCCCCAATGTGCCTAGCTACCGCCCGCCCATCACCCGCATCCCTGTCCTCGTCACCCGGAGAACGGCCCTGTCCAATTCCAGCTTCGCCAAGGAGACCAGGAGCTCCATTCRTCGCTTAGGTAGCGCGAGCTCACCACCCAGTGCGCTTCAGCCTGCGGCGGGTGCAGCCAGGTGCCTCGGGTGCATGGCTTGGGCTCTCTACCTGCAGGGTGCTGTGGCCAGGGTGTGGGACCACGCCTTGTGCTCAGGGAAAGCCACTTTCTCTTCCTCTGCGGAACCAGGCCTTCCCCCTGCTTTGTGGTGGCAACGTGAAAGGGTTTCCTCTCCTTCTCCCCATGCCTACATTCTGCATTTAGCAATTATTTCTTTGGGTTACACGTGGCTTTCTGCAGACAATCGGGTTTTTAAAAAATAGAGAGAGAGGTAGTCATTTGCACTCTAGTCTAAACAATGCACTTTCTCGGATCTCTGGGCCAYGAAGCTTGGGCCAAGGAGCTAGTCGTTTGGGGGGTAAGGGCATTAAAAAAAAGAAAAGTAATAAGAGAGTGAAGTCAGGCCCTCTGCAGATACAATCTACTGATGGTGAGAGTTTGCTGGCTGGGCTTTCTGAGGACTATTAATATCTGCTCAGCAAATTCCACTTCAGGAAAGAAGGAGCTGCCAGGTGCAGGCCGGCCGGCCAGGAGGAGGCCATCCTGAGGGGCCAGCGCAGAGGGAGGCCTGTCTGGATCCCTTTAATTGTCACAAGGTCCTCATAGTGGCTTTTAGGCTACGGCTGCTCACTGGCTGATGAAAGTTCTCAGGGACATACTGGCACCTCTGGGCTGATCCCTGCCGCTTTCTGCCTTAGCTGAAGCCAGACCTGCCGACTCTCCTCTTGACGTTGGCTATTTTGGGTTGACACCGTGCAAAGCTGCCTCTGAGACCAGGCCAGGTGGTGGGTCTCACTGAGCCCTTCACGGGGACACTGACTCCTCTCTCCCCTTCCTGGCTCTCCATGGGCTCAGAGTTGGGGTGAGGTGGCACGCTGATCGTCCCCACCRTGGGTCCGTGCCCTGGTGGGCAGACCCTAACTCTCCCACTCCAGGGCTCCCCCGACTCCCTCTCCCCTGGATCACCCCGTACCTGTTGTCCTATTCTGGGCCAACTCTCCTTTGATATGCGTCTTATTTTCTTTAACTGGATTCTCTTCTCAATTTAATTCATTTTACTGAAACTTGGTGTTACTATTCAAATGGAAAACCAGCACAGCTTGCYATGAAGAGAAATAACCCCAAACACCCGGAAAACAAATCAGTGCTGAGAGCTACGGGTGGGGTGGTGGCCGGCTGGGGGCTGTGCTGTGTCCTTGGCTGAAAGGGGCCTCGGATGTGTCAGAGGGGCGTTAGTGAAGGCCACCGAAGCGCTAACCTGACTTCCCCTCTGTGGATTCAGGATCTAGAGGGAATGGATCTGGAGTCATGTTCCCATTCTGTGTTCTCCTTTGCCTGATCTGTACATTGGAAATCATCCTCTGTCCTCCTGGGTCCCTGGGAATCCCCACTGGGAAATGTCCCCAGTGACAGCAGGTGGATCTGGCAAAGGTACGACACGTGTTGACTTTAGATGTGACAGATAAGGAAATGAGAAGATAGAGCAAGACGCACGGTTTCATTGAGGCCACTGGTGCCTCCCGAGCTGGGTTCGAATCCTGCTCTTTGTGCCTTGGTTTCTTATGCACAAAGTGGGGACCAGGATAACAACTACCTCACAGCACAGAGGAAYGGGCTGGAGAGTCCACAGAGCTGGGTGTGGCAGCCCGTGTGCCTGGAGTCCCAGCTGCTCAGGAGGCTGAGGCAGGAGGATCGATGGAGCCCAGGAGTTCAAGGTCAGCCTGGCCAACATAGTCAACCCCATCTCAAAGCAACAATGAAAAAAAGTTGATATATATAAAATACTTAGAATTTGGCAAAAGAAATATTGGCCGGCATATAGGAAGTACTTAACAGTAAATGTTATTCTCTAACCAATTTAGTAATGTAATATTTTTTCTTTATATTTCTTTAAAAAWWTTTTTTTATTTGTAGATGGGCACAATACCTTTATTTGATTGGTTTATTTTTTTTATGATGTGGTGCTGAGGATCGAACCCAGGGCCCCACACACGCTAGGCAAGTGCTCTACCACTGAGCCCCAGCCCCAGCCCTATATTTCTAATAATTCTGAGTCTATACATGGACGTGATATAAACCCATGCATTGCTATTTTGAGCTCCTGCTCTCCTGAGCTGGTAGGAAAGGCAACCTCAGTCGTGGGAGTTTTCTCCCCACCCCCCCAGGGGCATCAAGGATGCAGGGTCCCACCCAGGACAAGGCAGGGTGGGCATCAGCCCCTGCAGCTCTGTGGGGCCCCCTCGMTGTGGATGCTGAATTTGGTGGGTTGCTGCTGCCCTCCCAAGTCCATGAGCATGTTCCAGAGGTTTCGTGATTGGCGGTCCCCTGTCCCCTCTCCTCCCCCCCAGCTCACCCTTCCAGGCCACCRAGCAGTTGGGTGAGGGCCTCCACCTCCTGTCCTCCTCCTGCCCAGAGGCTGGGGAATCTCCTGTTGGTTGGTGAAGTGTCTCCTTTACATTTTAGGCAACGTCTCCATTCACCTTCATCCTCTTCCTCCGAGAGATTAGGACTCGTTCTTTAAAAAATGCCAAGAGATCTTGATGCCTCCTTAGGTCCCCTCCACGAGACTAAGTATAAACAACTCCACAAAGTGGCAGCCTTCCCCACGATGGCCATTATCACACCCAGGGCCGGGTGACGCTCGGGGGTGATGCCCTGGCTCCCAAACCCACCTCCCCAAATCTTAGATCCAGTTATTTCAATAGCTCCCCTCCCCTACCTTGCTGGGGCCCAGGCCTGGCCTAGCTGCTCCCGTGGGTCCCCCAGGTGTTGGCGGGGGGGCGAAGGAGCAGGGGCACTGCTCAGACCCCGGCATCCCCTGAGCTTGGGCTTGGGCAGATCTGTCCCCACAGTCCCTGAGGTGGGGGATGGAGCCAGAGGCAGGAGCACACCTGGTGTCCTCAGGGAKGACCTGGTGACACACTTCTCAGTGGTCTGGAGATTGGGTTCTGGTGGCTCCTGGCTTGTATGAAAACGGGAAATGCCAGAGCAGGTGCCCAGATCGGGGGTGGCACACACTAGAAAAATGGTCTGTGTCCCCTGGGTTTTCCCATAGGCCTGAGTGGCATTGTCACCYTACCTTGAGAGAGAAACTGAGGCTCAGAGAAGGGAAGCGGCTGACCAGCAGTGCTAGGCCAGGCCTGGGACTTCCCCTGAGGGTCCTGTCCAAGCACTGTCACCCCCTCCCCCGTGAATGCTCCCTCTGGGCTCAGGGGAGCCAGTCAGGGCTTGGAGGGTTTCTATGGCATGTGGCTTCTTTCGCGGCTCCTGGTTGGTGGCTGGCTGGCTGTGGCCCTCAGTGCATCTCAGGCATGGCGTCCCGCACCCCTGCATGGGGCAGGTGAGGCTGCCAGGCTCCCTCCAGACTCGGCTCCGCTGCTTCCTTCAGGCACGTGGCCAGGCCCCCCGCCACCCCGGCTTCTCTCCCTGACTCCCTTCCTCTCTCCCTTTCCCCAAGTGCCTGCCACGAAGGAGCACCCGGAGGTGCAGGTGGAAGACACCGAGGCKGACAGCCGCCCCCTCATCGTGGAGGAGACACCGCCCCAGCAGCTGCCACCTTCGCCCGCCAAATCCGACACCCTCACAGTCCCCGGCTCGGCCCCCGGGGCCCACAGGTGACCTTTTATGCTTCTCTTGGGGGCCTCAGTGCTGGGACCATGACACCCTCTCCTGGTTCTCCTGATGCCTGGCTCAGGGCTTTTTATAGGGGCTCTCCCMGGAGGTCCTGCCCCAGATGCCCTCAGGCAGGAGAGGAGGGCAGTCCTATGTGATGAATGTCACATGTGATGAATGTCACAGACTCATTGACACTTCCTTTTTATTTTTGAAAGGATGTGGTTCAGTTGGACTTACAAATGATCATAAACTACCAGTCCTTTTCTCCCCCTCTTCAACAAAAGTTTAAATGTGTGATACCGTTTACTGTACGCACATTGCGATACAGCGGCTCTCTAGAATTTTCCATCTCACACAACTGGAACTATACATTGAACACACGTGCTCGCTCCTCCCCCAGCCCAGCTGGGAAGCGTCAGCCTCCTGTCTGTGAGCTCCAGGCCTTCAGGAGTCAGTGGAGTTGGCAGGATTTGTTCTTCTGCGGCTGTTCTGTGCTCTGGGCCTGGAGCCGTGTCTTGTGGTGACTCTACTGTAGCACGCGAGGGCTGGGGCGGTGGCTCAGCCGGAGAGCGTCGGGTTCCATCCTCAGCACTGTTCACCACGGTGGACATTTAGCTCATTTCCACCTGTTGGCTATTGTGGAAGCAGGAGTGCAAGGCACCATTTGAGTGCCATAGTCTGTGTTCGGTAAGTTGCTGCTACAGCGGAGTTCAGCAGGCTGCTCACACCTTCACGGTGGGGTGGGCCCGGCTGCACGGGTGGCCACGCTGTACCCATTTTRGGCCCAGCACACTCGGGGTCAAGGGCTGAGTGCTCATCATGGTTCGGACACTCGTCTTGATGGAGAACACAGGCTTGCTGTGCTGATGCTCTGATCCGTGTCCCTAGACGCTGGGTTTCACACACTGTCACCGTCTCCATGTGCTGACACGGTCTTCTGTGTTTCATAGGATAATACAAGTCCTTAAGAAACGACCCTTCTTCTCCACCAGMACCTAAGTCGTTAACCCATAAAACGCCGTTCCTAGTGGTGGACACTGGCCTGGGCAGGTCCTCCAGAATGATCTTTATGCTTCGTCTTCAACTTATTCTACTTTATGCTGAGCAGGACTTTTTCTCTAATTCCGGGGATGGCTTCCTTGCTGATGTTAAGAAATTTCTCTCTCTTCATCGCTCTTCTTCTCTTCCCAGGTTTTGGGGTAACCCAGCCAACCAAATCATTCTCGCTGTGGAGAAAAAGGGTGGGAAAATCCAGGGAATTCACCCCTAAAATGCCAACGTCAAATAGTATCAAAGGCACCTCTCCTACCCCGTCAGATCACCCAGGCTCCAACCTGGGGACCCCAGGCCAGGGGCAGGCTGGGCAGGAACCTTCTCRTCCCTGAGATCCAGGTGGTTTTCAGGCTTCGACGCCATCAGCCAAGATGCAAAAAGGCCCCCAATGCAGCATTCTATGGCAGAGTTTAATTTTCTGAATGACAGGGGACCCCTGGATAATTTAGTCTTCATTTATTCAGATAGGGAACCTAGAGTCCAGGAGGGGATGGGATTTGCCCAAGGTCACACCTTGAAAGGGTGGGCACAGAGAAGGGGAGACTTCGAACTGGAGACAGGAGGGGAAGGACGTCCCAGCTGAGACCTGGYTGAGTGTCAAGGACCCCATGRAGTYGGGGAGATTYAGCCCTATTTTACAGAAAGGGRAAATGGAAAGAGCTCAGAGTTTAAGTCATTTGCCAAGGTCACGCCCTGGCCCGAGGCAGGGCTGGGTGCAAATTCAAGTTTGCCTGATACCCATCGAGTGAGCAGGTGGGAAGACGGAGGTCCGAGGAGGGCAGTGTCCCTCTCTTTTCTTTTGTGCCTCCCTCCAGGGAAATGAGGACCCTTTGGCAGAAGCACCCTGCCCCATCCTCTACCTAGGAACTGGCTCCGGGTGGTCCTCAGGGTCAAAGTCATTTCTCTGCCCTCCTAAAGGCACCTTGTGTATCTGCATCCTTTCAGGAAGAAACTGCCCTCTCACGATGATGATGAGGCCGAAGAACTCAAGGCGCTGTCACCAGCCGAGTCCCCAGTGGTGGCCTGGTCAGACCCCACCACCCCACAGGAAGYCGAGTGAGTGGGGCCACCCCTCGGGTCTCATGATGCTGGGGGGCCGGGTGGGGTGGGCCGATGAGGAGGTGGAGGGGTGTGCGTGTTTTTAGAGGACGGCGGCTCCGGGGGACTGTATTTCTCCCAGGGGCTTCCGAGCAGTCCGTCGGCTGGTCTCCTGCGCTGGCTGCTCCTGGCTGGCCCAGGAGTTCTGCCAACTCCGCAGGATAGACTGCAACTCTGGGTCCAGCTCTGGGAACAGCCAGCAGTGCTCAGAGACAAGGGGGTGGTGACTGACCCCAAAAGGGTCGGCAGGAACAGGGGGACACGGGATCTCCACTGGGTCCCATCTTGGGAAGCTTGTCAAAAATTACAGACCCCGGGCCTATCCAGTTCTACTGGATCAGAGCCTCAGACCACAGCCCTGGGGAGGCTGCACCCGCTCCCTGGCSATCCTGCTGCCCCTTGTATGCAAAACAGGGTTAGAAAGGGCAGTGACGGCCTTGGGCTGGGGTCTCTGGCATCTAATTATCCCAAGGCTGGGTCAATGGGGGGTGTTTCTGAAGAATCTGAGGGACCTGGTGCATGTTGGGTACCCCAGCCATGGGCATTTGGCCCCAGTCCCTGCCATGCTCTCCAGCCATGAGCCTCTTGAGACAGGAGATGCCAGGCTTGCCTTCCTCCTTCTTGCCTTTTTTTGTTTTTATATTTATAATTTTATGCAGTTTGTGCTTAACAGAGTAACAGGAAATTCATCAAAGATGAAGAAGCAGGAAAAACCCTTAACCTCATCCCTAGACCAGTTGCCCTTTTTAGCACACATTTAATACAGTGGGGTAGGTTAGGATGAGGACCGAGCCTCAGATAATATGGCATAAGTCAGGTATGATAATAAAAATTACCCTTAGCTGGGCACGGTGGCTACTTGGGAGGCTGGGGCAGGAGACTGCAAGTTTGAGACCAGCCTCAGTGACTTAGCAAGACCCTGTCTTTCAAAATAAAAATAGGGGCTGGGGATGYAGCTCAGTGGTAGAGCATGTGGCTAGCATGCAAAAAGGCCTGGGTTCAATTCCCAGCACTGCACAAACATGCAAAAATTATCTTTGAAATCTCATAAGGAGGTCAACATAGATACCCATGTATTAGTTAGGCTAAGTCGCTATAACAAATATACCCTAAAAGTTCAGTGACTGAAGGGACAAGAAGATATCTCATATGTCATAGTTAGATATGGCACAAGTTGCATGTTTCTGGTCAGTGGAAGGCTCTGCTCCACAGAATCATTTAGGTACCCAGGTTACAGTGGCTCTGCCACTTTTTCCATGTGGCTTCCAAGATCCCACTGGTCCTCATCAGAAAGGGACAACTGTTGGCCTTTCTTTAGCAAGGAGCTCTGGAGTCGCATGTCACATATCTACTCATGTTCCAATGGTGACAGCTTCCCACACATACCTCGAAGTGAAGTCCCAGGCTGGGTGGCTCTATTCCAGCCACTACTCACCACGGGGGAGAGCAGATGCCAGGAAGCAGCTCCCGTGTCTGCTGTCCTTGCATGCCACCTCTCATCAGGCCCATTCCTTGGTTCAGCCCAAGAGAAGCAGTTGACTTGAGTTTCTGTACCTTGACCCATATAGTCATATCACATCTGCAAACCCTGCTGGTACAGTCCGCTCAGCAAGCTGATCACAGTGTGGACACTCAGGGGAGCCCGCTCAYGTGACCTGTGCCGGCTCACGCTGGGCAGATGCCCCATGCTGTTGGAAAGTGGGCAGCCTTCATCCTCCCTCTCTGCCACTCTCTTTCACTGTCAGTGCATGAACTCTAAGTCCTCTACGTTAAAGGGGGCTAACACATGTCTCCAGTGCCTTTTCCACTGATGTCCTATGTCCCCTAACATAGCCCCTGCTCCCCTCTCTGTTCTACCACAGGCACAAATCTCCTGGGAACCTTGAGCTGGGTCTAAATCCCCGATTCTGCTGAACTCTGGGCTGAGTTCCAAGAGTTTCTTCCCAAATTACAAAGGGAATGAAAGTTTATTTTAGGACCTGCGCCTGGATCAGAGGCAACAGGGTCCATTCTCTGACCCTGGTGGGTGTCAGTGTCCCTGGGGCCAGCGCACCTGCACATGATCCCTGCTGCCTTTCCACCTGGGAGAAAGTGGACAGGGTCGAATTTCTAGTGTTGGAGAAGAGGGGCAGGATGTGCCTCCTCCTGGCTCTGACGGAAGGTGAGCCCCAGACGGTGACCAGCTCTGACTGGACACCGGGGTCCTTTCCTGCTCAGCCTGTGTTCCGTTCCCACAGTGGCCAGGACCGTGCGGCCTCCACCGCCAGCCAGAACAGTGCCATCATCAACGACCGGCTGCAGGAGCTGGTGAAGCTCTTCAAGGAGCGGACGGAGAAGGTGAAGGAGAAGCTCATTGACCCGGATGTCACCTCCGACGAGGAGAGCCCCAAGCCCTGTGAGTGGGGGCTGCAGGTGGTCCACCTGGCCAGAGAAGGATGGGGTCCCCAAAGTCCCTGCCAACCAAGGTGAGGGTGGCCCAGGGTGAGTCTGGAGTGCCCAGGAGAAGCCCAGATCCCTGTGCTGTGGACTCGGGGCCCTGTGAAGACGGGTTCTCTGTCTGGGAGGGGACAAAGTTCAAGGTTATGAGCAACAACGGACCCTCTGCCCCCTTCCCGCTGGCAGGTGGGGGCCTGCGTGGGGCTGTGTCTCGGGCCACAGTCAGAGAGTGTCCCAGATGGTCTTATTGTTCAGATTCATTGGAGCCTCGAAAGTTCTTATGGGACCACCTAAACATTTTCCTTTCTTTCAAGGATTGAGGGGGAAATAAGAACCATGCTTTCTTGTCAGGAAGGTTTTCTAGATCTTTCCAGAGAAGGGCTTTGGAACTCCGGTGCCCACCATGGACCTGACTTCACAGTCCTAAAGCTAGAAACTCGGCCACATTGAGYCTGTGAGCAACAGGTCCTCGTCGCCCAGAGCAGCAGGTGGCTGCCAGGCAGGAGGCCAGGTCCCAGTCAGTGTCCCTGGCAGGGACAGAGGGGCCAGGAGTCCCGCTCTGAGAAGCCTGAGCAACGTCTCCTGATTTCTCTGGGCCCTTTCGCACTCCGACCCGACAGTGAGGGCCCTGGGTACGACCCCCCGCCCCTCAGAGGGCAGCCGGGGTCCAAACACAGGCGCGCAAGGCTGAGCTGAAATGGTCACCGTGCCCAGGAGGACCTCACTGGGACAGCTCCTGAGAAGCAGTTCCGTGCTGTAGCTGATAAGAGTCTCAGGGGGCAGCCTGGCTGCTGCTGCAGAGGGAGCCCAGGGGCGCTTCTGGGGAGCCCCCTGGATTCCACACACAGAGCTTGCAGCAGGCTGTGGGGTGGACCCCTCAGTTCTGGTTCCAGGGTCTGCGGTGGGGACCCTTCTCAGGGCTGGACAGGTGGTCACCCATGTCATCCCTCAGCCCCAGCCAAGAAAGCCCCAGAGCCCGCCCCAGCCTCGAAGCCCCCGGAAGCRGAGCAGGAGGAGGAGGAGCACTATTGTGACATGCTCTGCTGCAAGTTCAAACGGCGCCCCTGGAAGAAGTACCAGTTCCCCCAGAGCATCGACCCGCTGACCAGTGAGTCGCCACCGTGCAGTGGGAGAGGGCGGGTGAGGTGAGAGGCAGGTGGGAGGCCACGTCGTCCCAGGTTTGTGACCCATTTTCCAAACGATTCCACACTTCCTCACCTGGTTCTTAAACAACAACAAAAGTCGCTGGAATAGGAACGCAAGGTCACACCCATTTTAGAGATGGAGAAACCCAGGCACAGAGAAACCATCCAGCCTCAAGACACAGTGAGTTAGCACAGACCCAGACTCCTGGCTTTCGGCCAAGGCTTTGTGCTCGGGCTGCACCGAGACGGGGAAGGTTCTTCCACATTGAAGAGGAACTCCTCTCTCATCCCTTTAAGCGCATTCTATAGTCCTCAGGAGCRATGCCGTTGCCTATGTGCACAGCACTTTGCAGTTTACAAAGGCCTTCCCTGCCCCTCTTATCTGACATTCTCCTGTGACTTTGAGACGAGCAGGACAAGTGCCAGAGAGTGACTTTCTCAAGGTCACAAAGGAAATCTTTCAGGGGGCAAGACTCCAATCCTGGTGTCCCCTGGGCTTCTAAGATGACTAGGAGACCTACACTGTCCATCCATCCATCMACMCCCCTGTCTGTCCCTCCATCCRTCCAACCTCCGTGCATGACTTACTAAGGCAGGAATTACCAGTTAGAAAATTTTTCAAAAAGAATGAAAGCCAAATGCTTTTCTAGTTAGGTGTCTACTGTCTAATAATGTCCCTGTAACCCCTCCTCAGTGTCCCTTCATTAGGGCCTTGGGGTGATCTGTCCTTAAAGCACAGAAAGTTTTACCCGTGTACAGTGACAGGAGCACCAGGTGCAGGCCCCCGGAAAGCTGGAAGCCCACCTGGCCCCACGGAGGGGGGTCCCGGGTCCAGCTGGGTCTAGCTGCCCATCCTCCCTCCCCGCAGACCTGATGTACATCCTGTGGCTGTTCTTCGTGGTGCTGGCCTGGAACTGGAACTGCTGGCTGATTCCCGTGCGCTGGGCCTTCCCCTACCAGACGCCGGGCAACGTCCACCTCTGGCTGCTGATGGACTACCTGTGCGACCTCATCTACCTCCTGGACATCGTCGTGTTCCAGATCCGCCTGCAGTTCGTCCGAGGGGGTGACATCATCGTGAGTCACAGGCCGGGGGAGAGGGGGATGGGGGCTGAGTCCTCCAGTCAGAGCCTTCAGGGGACTGACCCCTGAGGCTGCGGTAGACGACGAAATAAGTGAATAAGATAAGCTCAGGTGCAGCTGCCTGTGTGTGTTCAACAACACAGTTGCTTACTTTGCACACTTGGGTAGGTTCAGAGGACACACATCCAATATTGTTCATCGGCGAAGTAGCTCCGGGACCACCCACTGGAATTAAGGATGCAGCAGTAGCCCAGGGAATGGCCTTTAGGTCAGGCACACTGTTCAAATCCTAGCTGAATGGCCTGAGCCTCAGTTTCCTCATCTGTTAATTGGGGTTGGTAATAGTTCCCACMTGGTGGCATTGCTGTGCAGATTGATTGAGAGGATGCAGGGCACTCAGCTTGATAACTGCTGGAAACCAGCATGGGGTGGGGGTGTTCCTGGGGTTCCTGCAGAGAGCTTGCTGATGCTCTGCCACTTGGACCACTTTGAGACCCTGGTCTAGGCCAGCTCCTGCTTGAGGAAACCAAGGCCCTGATTGTGACTTTCCAAAAGCAAGTGACAGCTGGCTTGGTGGTGCACTCCTGTAARCCCAGCATCTCAGGAGGCTGAGGCAGGAGGATTGCAAGTTCAGGGACAGCCTCGGCAACTTAGCAAGACCCTGTCTCAAMCTAAAAAATAAAAAAAGAGCTGGACTCGGTGGTGCACATCTGTAAACCCAGAAACTCAGAGGGCTGAGGCAGGAGGGTCCTAAGTTTGAGGCCCCTCAGCAATTTAGCTGAGCATCTGGGCAAATGAATTAAACAGATACTTGTCAAAAGAAGAAATACACATGTCCAACAAGTGTATGAGCAAAATGTTCAACCCCATTAGCAGTTAGGAAAATTCAAGCCAAAACTATACTGAGATTTCGTCTCACACGGGTCAGAATGGCAGCCATCAAGAATAGGATATGGAGATGATGTGGAGAAAAAGGAACACTGTTAGACTGTTGGTGGGACTGTAAATCAGTACAGCTATGGAAGTCAGTAGGGAGGTTCCCCAAAAGTCTAGGAATAGAACCACCATATGACCCGGCTATACCACTTTTTGGTTTTTATCCCAAAGAATTAAAGTCATGCTTACTAGAGGGACACATTCCTGCCCGTGTTACAGCACACGGTTCACCGCAGCCGAAATGGAACCAGCCTAGGTGCCCATCAACAGATGAGTGGATAAAGAAAATGTGGTGTCTATACACAGGGAGTTTTATTCAGCTATAAAGAAAATTGAAATTATGGCAGTTGCAGGAAAATGCATGGAACTAGAGCCCATCACGTGGAGCAAAATCAGCCAAACTCAGAAGGTCAAAGGTCGCATGTCTTTTCTCAAATGTGGAAGCTAGAGAGGGAAAAGGAGAAGAAGGGTGGGGGTATCTCATGAAAATCAGCAGGAACTCAGTAGAATACAGAAAAGGAATGGGGGGGGGTGCGGAGAGGGAGGGGGACGGGCTGGGGAGTGGTATTGGCCAAATGAGATTGTTACGTTGTGAGCATGTATGACTRTGTGACAGCAACCTCACCACTACGCACAAGTATGATGCACCAATAAAGAACGTGCAAAAAAATAGTAAAGGGCCCGGGAAGCAGCTCAGTGGTAGAACATCCCTGGGTTCAGTCCCCAGCACCAAAAAAAAAAAAGGAAAAAGGAGTGGGGATTAGCTCAGGGGCAAAGCAACCCTGGTGCAATCCCAGTACCCACCCCCAAAGCAATCCCAGAGGCCCCTATCTCCCCACTCAAGTCACTTCCTAAAATTCCCCAAGGAGGGAGGGACAGGGTGCGGTGGAGTGGGAGCGCCTTCCCGGCATGCCGCCGGCCCTGGGTTCCACCCAGAACAGCAGAGAAACAACTCCCACCTGCTCCCCTGCTCCCCTGCAGGTGAACACGTTGAAGTTTTGCAGAGGGAAAGCTCCCTGACTGCCTATTTCAGGGGGCTGCTCTGGGAGGAGGGGCTCTGGAGGAACCCCCTTTGCCTCCGCAGGTCAGGGCCCGAGCTCTCACCCACTTCATGTCATTGTCCATTTTCTTTCAGGTGGACAAAAAGGAGATGCGAAACAACTACCTGAAGTCCCGCCGATTTAAGGTGCGTGCAGGTTGCCAGCCGTGAGCCCGYGGGGCCTCGCCAGGCCCAGTGCTCTGGGGACACATAGGATGTGGCTGCCACTATCTCCCATGGAGTGTCCTCCAGGCCACTCAGGCTGGGTGGCGCTCAGAGGCCACCTGGCAAGGGGCCAGCCCCTACCACGGGTTCCCAGTAGCCACGGGGCCATGGTCATGGTAAGGGAGCCGCCTGGTGCTTCCACTGAGGCCGAAGCCCAGGGACGGTTGGGGGGATATCTCCTACCCCCATCTGAGGCCCTCCTGGGGTTCTGACCTCACCTTTCCACGGTAAAGGCCCCGCCCTTTCCCCTCGCTCCCCTGCCCCCCCTTCACCGTGCACCGTGGGGGCCGTTGGGATTGCAGATGGACCTGCTGTGCCTCCTGCCCTTGGATTTGCTCTATTTGAAGTTGGGCATGAACCCCCTCCTCCGCCTGCCCCGCTGCTTAAAGGTAAGACCCGCAGCCGCCCTTCCCCAGTGCCTAATTAGCGCCTCTGTGCTCTGCACTAGACACTGSCACCTTAATGTCCCCCTAAGTTTCCCCCAAGAGCCTGGGAAGGGGGAGGTGTCCTCGMAGGTGGCCCAGGGGACAGGCACCTACTCCTCCCATGTCTTAATGGAAAGTGACCAGCTGGCACTGCTGCTASGTATTGATCCAGGGGCTTACCAGGCCCTGGTTCCTCAACCCTGGATGTGGGTGCTGTGCTGACAGCCTCAGAGAGCCTAAGGAACCTGCCCAAGGGCACACAGCACAGAGCAGAGCCGGGGCTGGAATAGGCAGTCTGTCCCCTCTGACCGTTAAAGAGATGGTCCAGAGTGAGGTTCCGCTTTATGATGGGCTCTACCCAAAAGACAAGGAGACTGGCACTTGGAGCTGCTGGGTGAGGTGCCCAAGGTCACAGGAGAGGAAGTGCCGGGGTGGGTGTGAGGCCCCGCCCACCACCCGTTTGGTCATTGGTTGGTGCTCAATGTCAGTCCAGTTGTTCATCCTGCCACTCACTGGGGAGAGGCAGGGTCCCAGGGRGGGTCTTCCTGATACTGGAGACCTGGCAACTGTCCTTTAATGGGGCTAGGGTAGACAGCCACTCAGGGCTCCTGGGATCCCCAAATGAATTTTYCCAGCCAACCACTTAAATTCCTCTCTCTCCCTACGTGATGCCTGGTGCCTTTTTTAGGGGGGATTGACACAAAAGGGAAATGCGATAACATCAATGACCCAGAGAAAAAGGGCAGGGAACACTAGGAGGAATGCAAGAGCCCGGGTGAAACTGCACCCAGGAGCTGCCTCTGAGCTTCCTGGCTGCCCAGGGGAAGAGGGAAACTGTACTTGGCACCATTCTTGTCTGACTCGTACCACCTCCCGGGGGCTCAGAGGTTGCTTTAGAGCTAGTCATCGGCATGAGGAAGGTTGGGTCTGAGTTCAAATGTTGGCTTGGGGCTGGGGCTGGGGCTGGGGCTGGGGCTGGGGCTCAGTGGTAGAGCACTTGCCCAGCTCGCGTGAGGCCCTGGGTTGGATCCTCAGCACCACATGAAAAGACAAATAAGTAAAATAAAGGTATTGTGTCCATCTACAACTAAAAAAAAAAAAAAAAAAAACAAGCAGAAAAAGAAATTTTGACTCTCACTCCCCAGCATGGGCTTTGGTCACATTATTGGACTTCACTGAGTGACAACTTTCTGTCAAAGGAGAATTATAAGGCTGGGGGTGTGGCTTCGTGTTAGAGTGCTGGCCTAGCGTGTGTCAGGCACCGGGCTCCGTCCCTAGCACCAAGGAAGGAAGGAAGGAGGAAGGGAGGGAGGGAGGGAGGGAGTTATATAAGGTACTGATCATATAACAGGAGCTCCATAAAGGAGTAGTGGTGCACATCTGTAATCCCAATGATGTGGAGGCTGAGACAGGAGGATTGGAATTTGAGGCCAGCCTGGCACCTTCRTGAGACCCTGTCTCAAAAAATAAAAAGGGCTAGGGATGTCACTCAGTGGTGGAGTGCCCCTGGGCTCAATCCACAGGAACCCCCTTCAAAAAAAAGTAGTTATTGTTATACTTTTATTACTATAAATAAGCCTTTGAAGGAACTAAGGAAGAAGTGTTAGGAATGATTTTTTAAAAAATAAGATTATTTCCTTTAAAAGTCAACATTTAAAAGAGTCCCTAACCTGGGATGCGTGGACCCCTGAAAGTTTCACGGTGGGGTCAGAAGGTCTGGGAGTCCCCGTTAATTCACTCCACGCCACTGTGACCCCAGGACCCCGTGTGATTCCCACGGCCAGGGGCCAGGGCTGCCATGATTCCTAGTGGGGTTTCTGGCCCCACCAGGCCCAGGGCGAGGCCCTCTGGTTTGGGACGCTCACTGTCCAGCCCCTTCCCCGGGAGGAAGGGCTCAGTCCTGGGGCCGCTAGCAGCGGGCAGCTGAGGGCAGCGTGGCCCCTGCAGCGTGGCTGCCCCTGACGCCCRCTCCTTGCCCCCAGTACATGGCCTTCTTCGAGTTCAACAACCGCCTGGAAGCCATCCTCAGCAAGGCCTACGTGTACAGGTGGGGCCGCGTGCGCACTCGCACACACATGCACACGTGTGGACACACAACAAACACGCATGCCACACACACACATGCCACACACACCACACTCCCCCACCATACATACACACCCCACACACATGCCTGCACACAGTGCACACACCACAAACCACACACACCACACACCCCCACGTGCACACATCACACACACGCATGTGCGCACACACACGTGTACACACACCACAAACACACACCACACACACATGCACTCCCCACACACACACACTACACCACTCACCCACACACACATGCACACACACACACACACACACCGCACACACGCACACTCCACACACACACACACACACACGCACACTCCACACACACACACACACACACAGGACAGAGCATTCTCACCACTCGCCTGCCCTGTCCCACCCTGACCTCCCGGCCTCAGCACACAGGAAGCGGGCCTCTTCCTGGCCTCTTCCTGGCCCAGCCTCCTCCTCTCTGAAGGGATGTTTATGTTTAGGTCAGGAACGTCCTATTTCCTCCCATTGTGACTTGGGACGAGGGTCCWCACAGGTGGACGCAGCCGCTCAGCAGCACGGGGAGGGGGGGCACGAGGTCACCAGCCACGCTGGGAAACAAGGCTCCTCCCTCCTCTTCACACCTCTCAGCCTCATGGTCACCTCTCTGCAGTCACCTGTCCCCTCCAGGCCCTCCCCACAGCCACGTGACTCCTTTGTCCCCTCTGCTCCCCCAGAACTCATCAGCAGGTAGCTCTTCCCGCCTGGACCAGTCCTAGCCTGAGTCTCGACAAGGTTCCCGTCAAGGGCCACCATTCCTAACTGCCACCGCCTCGGAAGAGTGCCCCATGGGGCCAGTGTGGCCCCCAGCTGTCCCACTGGCAGGGCGTCCACCCACGGCAGGGTGTCCACCCACGGCAGGGCGTCCACCCACGGCCGGGCCCCACGTCCCGATGGGGGAAGTTGTGAAGTGGGCTTCCCGGGAGGAGAGGGTGAGCCCCCTCGCTCCCCTGGGGTGGCGAGAGGCCTCCAGCACGCTGTCACCTGGGGTCCYGCTCTCTCTCACCCTGGGTGGTGTCCCGCCCGGGCAGGGTCATCAGGACCACAGCCTACCTGCTCTACAGCCTGCACCTCAACTCCTGCCTCTACTACTGGGCGTCGGCCTATCAGGGAATCGGCTCCACCCACTGGGTGTACGAYGGCGTGGGGAACAGGTGAGCCGGCCTCCTCCGGGTGACATTCTCCGTCTTTGTCATTCAGAGCATACAGGCTCCGCTGCTTTGCTAAGGAATGGCTCTCCCAAGACGAGGTTCGGGGGCCATGTCCCGTGTCTTCCTGAGCCACTTTCCTGCGCACCTGCTGYACCTGCTGTAGGTGGGCACAGGTACAGGTGGGAACGAGACCCGCAGGAAGGGTCCTTTCAGCTTCCCAAAGTCCAGGARGGCAGGCCAGCACACCGTCCATCTACCCTCACCCCCCATGGCCCACTGGGAACSAGGCCACAAAACACTTCCCAACACAGCTTCCCGGGGGTCACCAGCCACCSAGGAGCTTGCGGACAGGGGCAACCGGCTTGCCGTTCCCGTATTCTACCACGGGAGGGTGGCGACGGTGTGTATGWGCCAGGTGACGCTGCAGGGCACCTTTGTCCTCTGGCCTGATGGTTTCCTCACCTCAAATTCTTGCAAGGGGAGTAGCCAAGGGTGCAAAAATGTTAATTATTTGAATTAATAAAAACTAATAAACTTCTTTAGCGTGGTGTCGGGGTTATAGAAAGGTCCCTGGGGAAGTCGAGAGTTCCCATACATGGACTGCCTCACTTTCTTCCTTCTTTTCCCCCCTGCGGGGCAGGGGATGAAGCCTGGGTCTGGTGCATGCCAGGCAAGCGCTCCCCGGGGCCTCTCATGATGCGAAAAGCTCACAGTCCAGCCCTCCACACTGGGTCCCCCTCCAGGCACCTGCTTCCAACTCTAGAGTTCGCCCCTTCTGAGACTCACAGTTGTTGTTGTTTTTTTTTTAAATTAGAGCTTTGTAGTTATAAGTAGAGGTTGGGTTCCTTTTGACAAACTCMTGTGCGTGGAATTTGATGGACCCTGTTTCAGTCTCTGCTCCCCTTTCCCTCCTCTCCTCCCTCCCCCTCCTCCTTGCTCAACTGGCCTCCCTGTCACCCATTTTATTTATTTATTTTCAGTTGGTGCTTTCTACATATG